TGGGAATCAAACTCACCACCTTGCACTTGCCAGACAGGCACTGTGCTGCTGAACTAAATCCCCAGCCCATTCAGTAATAATTTTTGTATTTATTAAATATGAAGATCAGGTAAGGGTGGATCCTCAGCATTGCACTTTAATGCCTTATCCTGTCATATGCAGTGTCCAAGGTTTGATCCTGAGTACCACAAACAAGATGAGCCTACATGTCTATGAATTGTACATTGCAAGATGCAACCACTACACAGATGTACATGAAAATACAACAGAGCAGACACAACTCAGATTTTTCCAAATTTATTTTGTTTGCTTTTCTTTTTCTTTACTCTTTTTTCCATTGAACAAGACAAAAGAGTATCTCTTTTTACTACTGGGAATCCAACTCAGGACCCTTCACTTGCCAGGCAGGTACTTGTGCCACTGAGCTATATCCCCGGCCCTAAGAGTATTCTTCTTTTATCTTTTTCTTATTCCACGTTTTAAGCCAAGGTTCAGAAGCTGACGAATGTTATCATTTATTTCAATACAGAAAGTACAACAGTTTTCAAGTATTTTCCATGGAAAAATTCGGTGACATGGAGATTCTGGGTTAGAAACTCACAGTGGCAGGCTGCAGTCAGTGCAAACCATTTCATACTTGAGTTATTCCAAAGTACTCTTACATTGCTCCTCACAGGGGTTATTAATAAAGGACAAAAGTAAGGCCTACTTTTCCAGTACATCAGGTAGAACCAAGGAAATCTCTGCAGACTCCGTCACTCTATACTTTATGATACTTGCTGCCATTCCGGGTCATGGGACTCAGCACTGACACTGTGACCTGGTTAACCCTGAGGCTTTACTGGGAACATATTTCAGAGCAACGCTTGTGCCGTGAGACTAGCTATTCCCCCAACATACTCCACCAAATCTTTAGTGGATCCTGTTCGAGCCTGGATGGGAATTCCTATACAGATTGGTATGAAAATAGGTGCATGTGAGACATGAGCAATCAACATTTTGTGAACGCTTTATCACAGAGAAGTAAAATGACTAAAGCAAGTTGACCTCAGAGACACACTGGCATGTGATGAGTGTGCAAGGCTCTAAGCTCCTAGAATGAGTGAGGGGAAAGGGCTTGTCTGTCCCACCAAGGATAAGTAAATGTGAGCAAAAATCAAACCTTCCCTTTGCATTAGAGAACAGTGTCTATGCATCACCCATGTCAGGTTATCTTAGGACTTAGTGTCAAGAGGAAAGGTTGAGCAATAGCAATAATTAATGCATAAAGGTATATTTCATACTCATTTAAATGTGAGACGGTGGTACAAATAAATTCTGTGTTTAGGTACCAAAGATAAAACCCTGTGGCACTCTACCATGGAACTATATCCCCAAACCTAAGTTTCTTTTAATTTGAGACAGGGCTTCACTTACTTACCCATGCTGGTCTCCAACATGTGACCCTCCTGCCTCAGCAGGGCAGTGGTCTGAAAATGCAGGCTTCCAGGCCATGCACTGCTGCACGTGTGCTTTATGAGCAGCAAGAGCCCAAGTCTGCATTTGCACCTTGGCAGAGAAGAAGGGCCAGCTGGTTTTCAGCACAGTCTGAATGTACAGGGGTGGGGTTAGGAGGCACCAATCTCACAGGTGACTTGGATACTTGGACCTGAAGCATCTGGAAGTGTGGACAAGCCTGGATTTCAGTTCCTCCTCCTCGGTCAGCTCTGCCTGCATTCACTCAGGCAGAGAAGGTTCTTTGAGATGAGCCCTTCACAATGCATTCCCCAGTAAGAAGGGGCCCAGACTGTTTTCTAAAACGACATCTGGTCCCAACAGAAGGAGAAGTCTGTCCTGTTGGTGGGAATCACCTAGTGTGGCCAACATGTGTTCAAGGATCTGAGCTCCTGCTGACTCTCCAGGGCTCTCTGATGATTGGTGTGCCACACGCTGATGCGCACACAGCCGGCTTTGTGAATTTCACACTGACTGGTTCCAAGACATGAAAAATGTACTGAAGGGGAACATGGATTTCCTTTGCCTTTTGCTCCTTAGACCGACTGTGATGAGAAGCCGAGCCTGGTGGCATATACCTGTAATCCCAGCACTCAGGAGGCTGAGGCAGGAGGATCATTGCGAGTTCAAGGCAAGCCTCGGCTACAAAGTGAGGTCAAGGCTGGCCTGAACCACATAGCAAGACCCTGTCTCAAAAAAGGACCAAAAAGAAAGACAAAAAAATGGGATGAGAAAAACATAATTAAATATTTATTTAAAGGCAAAGGATGGGCTTGACTTTCCACACAGACAAAATAGAGATGAGTAAGAGAATGGAAAAGAAATTTCTTTGTAACATGACATTTATCTGCCACAGGTGATTCAGCCAGACCAGGACTTAGGGTGAGAGCTCTGAGTGTTCAGCAAAAAACAAGGAAACTTGTAGTTCTCTAGGTTTAGAGCACAGAGTGCAGTGATTAAATATATTTCAACTTTAAATTTATTAACATTTTAATAGAATAAAATGGAAAAATTTAACAGCTATATAAAATTTGAAAAATTCTCCTCTTCTCTGTTGTTGTTTTTTGTGTGTGCCAGGAATTGCGCTCAGGACCTTGCACTTTCCAAACAGGTGCTTGTGCTGCTGAGCTATATCACCAGCTCACTGTTTTAATTTTTGTGTTCTCCTCCCCTCCAATTTCCACTCCTTTCCCCCTGGGCTTCTGTCAGTCTTCAGCCTTTGATGCTTTCCAATCCATCTCCCCAACCTTCTGTCCACCAGTGTAGTTATCCATCCAGGTTCTCCTTTCACTTAACTAACATATTTTACTGCATATGTAAACTTAAAAATCCAACAAGCATGGTACTAAAAAGAACATTTGCCAAATCATTCAAAGTACATGCAAACATACTTAATTCTAATAGCTTCATAAAAGTCTTACAAATATTCAGAAAACCCTGAAAAATTAAAGTTTTATCTAGTAGTAAATATTTCATATTAATAATAAAATGGCTAAACATCATAACTATTGAAAAAATTATAAATTTAATTCAAATCAGAATTAGTTTGAGCATATATTGATTAATAATTCAGAGCACTTTAGAAGTGTATAAACTCATTTTTATATAGCTTCAGAAATATTGACAGGCAAGGGTGAACAAAGACATATGAAATAATTCATTAAATTAAAACATAATCAGCATATTTAGGGCATAGTAACGTTTGAAGTGGAAAAATGTATTAAAATGTATAAGACAATTCTGAAATATGGTGATCTACAGACAAATTTGTCACATTAACAATGAGTAAAAATGGTTGAGAAAGCCAATTGGTGTACGAGATACAAATGAGTAACAGTTCAACACAGGGACAACAATAAGAATTTATTACAGATTTTATGACAGGAACAAAAATTTTTTTCAAACTAAAATTGCAGAGGAAAGGTAATTGTTACAAGAGCTAGTGATGTTCAGATTTTACAGAGAGAAATGAGTCCACTGATAACTGAAGTAAACCTCCGGCTAGAAGGTAATATGTCACTGAAAACAGTGGTACAGGTGTGGTACAGAGCCACTATGCATTTTAGAATAAAAATACTTTTGAACTTAGAAAGGTTTCTTTCTATCAGAATGTGTTTTATCTCTGAACCCAAGCAGAGAATTCTTATCTGACCTTAACAAAATAATGTAGCACTTGGGGGCAAAGATGCAGCCCAACAGCCCCGCACCGGAGACCAAGATGGAGAAGACCTCCATGGCCACCATGACCTTCCCCTTGGTGCTGTGGTACACGGGGAGGAAGGTGACCCACAC